TTGGAGTTCTTTTGGTAAGGACTTTGCCTAATAGCTCTGGTACTAATGAGAACTAAGTCCAAAATTGCGGTCAGCATCAAAACTGTTGTCCGAGGATTTAAAATCCTTTGCTACGATCCTGTAGTAAGTCCACTTCTTAAATATCCTTTTTTAAACGAAACAGACTTTGAATGTTCCTTAACTATTGTATTATTGTCAGTTACTTGCTTGCCATTGGTTTACGTATGCAGTGACTAAAATGACAGGCGCCAAATTTAAAAATTTTTGTACTTCCTTTTACAATAGTCTCATTAAGGCAGTATATGTATATGTATGGTTCTCAGTTTCATCTTTCATTGTCATTGGGAGCAGCTTGAGCCAATAGAAGACTGGTGAAAGAATGGGCGGTTCTCTCAGATACTGCGCTTTTGTCTTATTTGATAGACCTATTACGAGCCGAAGCGAACAAAACTTGGCAATTATCTGCATCCACATAATGTAATGTTTTCTATGTATAAATAATATGAACATGAGTGTGTGCATCACACTTTCAACCATGTAGGTTTAGCTAATGATGAGGAGTGTAGAAAATTCAAAACCACAGCGCAGCTACACAATTCATCAAATAGGTAAATACCTAAACCGATTCGCTCAACTGTGATGATTATCAGGATATAAGAAGTTATCATTTAATCCTTTGGTCATTTGGTACAGCTTTTAAGTATTGCCCGGTCATCATTACAGTATGCATCTTGAACAGAACATGGACTATCCTTTCTTGTCTTGTATGACTGACTTCTACCCAAAAAGTTCATCCAATGTTTCAATACTTGAACTGTTTAATCCATAGATCTTATACTGACGCCGCAGGATTAATTTAATTCTAAAAATGCATAACGTATGATGTCTCATCTAAAAGATCCATTATCAGAGCTGATACCCTTCCCTTGTTTGATATATTTACGAACTAGTGAAAAATGAATTCTAGGATTTGTTGAATGTTGAGGAACAATTTTCAGCAATTCTTAGTTATCCAAATTGAAGCTTTAGAGTTCCTAAGATAATCTAAAGCAATAGGTACTTAAAAACGCGAATGACTTTTGAAACAATCCGCTCCTGCGACAAAAAGGTTTTAATACTTTTTGGGAGGACATTCCTTACTGAGCTTTATGAGGCATGGAAGAGCTATCCAGCAAAAATCAACGAATTTTATCTTGTTCACTACTTTTTTTAACGAAAGGAAAAGAGGAAGACCCTTTTTCTTTAGTTATTCACAAGTATTTACAAAAAAATTCAAAGTTCAAATCCATTTGACACAAAAACTATTCAACTGGCTCTAAATTCCCCAGGTCTAACGAAATTTCCAAAGATCTCGTAACACTGTCAAAAAATTAAACGTGTTAGTGGACATCTCTCTCCCCCTTACTTACGAGGGTGGATTGATAAGTTTCCGGCCTGACCAAGAAAAACAAGGTTTTTAAAAATTTTTTTTTTTTATTTCTCAACATAATCTCCTCCAAGGCTGATACATTTCTCATAGCGGTGTTCCAGTCTATTAATGCCATCTCTATAGACTGATTCGTCAAGCTCCTCAAAATAACCATTTNCATCCACATAATGTAATGTTTTCTATGTATAAATAATATGAACATGAGTGTGTGCATCACACTTTCAACCATGTAGGTTTAGCTAATGATGAGGAGTGTAGAAAATTCAAAACCACAGCGCAGCTACACAATTCATCAAATAGGTAAATACCTAAACCGATTCGCTCAACTGTGATGATTATCAGGATATAAGAAGTTATCATTTAATCCTTTGGTCATTTGGTACAGCTTTTAAGTATTGCCCGGTCATCATTACAGTATGCATCTTGAACAGAACATGGACTATCCTTTCTTGTCTTGTATGACTGACTTCTACCCAAAAAGTTCATCCAATGTTTCAATACTTGAACTGTTTAATCCATAGATCTTATACTGACGCCGCAGGATTAATTTAATTCTAAAAATGCATAACGTATGATGTCTCATCTAAAAGATCCATTATCAGAGCTGATACCCTTCCCTTGTTTGATATATTTACGAACTAGTGAAAAATGAATTCTAGGATTTGTTGAATGTTGAGGAACAATTTTCAGCAATTCTTAGTTATCCAAATTGAAGCTTTAGAGTTCCTAAGATAATCTAAAGCAATAGGTACTTAAAAACGCGAATGACTTTTGAAACAATCCGCTCCTGCGACAAAAAGGTTTTAATACTTTTTGGGAGGACATTCCTTACTGAGCTTTATGAGGCATGGAAGAGCTATCCAGCAAAAATCAACGAATTTTATCTTGTTCACTACTTTTTTTAACGAAAGGAAAAGAGGAAGACCCTTTTTCTTTAGTTATTCACAAGTATTTACAAAAAAATTCAAAGTTCAAATCCATTTGACACAAAAACTATTCAACTGGCTCTAAATTCCCCAGGTCTAACGAAATTTCCAAAGATCTCGTAACACTGTCAAAAAATTAAACGTGTTAGTGGACATCTCTCTCCTCCTTACTTACTGCATGCAGAGAGAGAGAGACTGAGAGAACTGACAAGGTGGATTCGATTAGTTCAATCTGATGATTATATCCAGTAGGAGTCACTATACAAAAAGACTTTGATGAAGCTTTTTACCTAATCCTTGTAAGCAGTGCATGAATGTAGGTCCTGTAATCTATTAAAAATCCCAATCCCGATATTCTCACTACTCAGTACGGTGAGATCTCTGACTATTCCTATTTCAAACCCCATCATACGTCTACTGTTATTATTCTAATGCTATGTTAGTTATATGGTATTTATACTTATTGCTAGGTAATTATTTTGATTTTTTTTTGTTGTCGTTAGAAATTGTCAGATAGATAATTTACAAAAATTGTTTTAATTTATAGCGTTTTGTAGAAATTAAATCTCATGCCTGACTAGAAATTGTGATCATGGACCTGATAGGAATAACCTTTATCCTCCTAAAGTAGGATTGTTACGCCTTTCTGTATAAAGGACCTTTTTAAGGAACCTAAAAAGTATACCAGAAAGAAAACCTCGATAAAAATAATAAAATGATATAAAAAAATACACGATGAGTATACTTGTTGATGATTTTTCATGACATTATTGTACAAAAACATACATACAAACATAGTAGTACAATTAATACAATTAGTATAACTACCAAAGGTATAAATGGTTACGTACAGTATCCAGTTGCACTTGGACAATATACGTAATTTCACATTACAATAACTTATTGGTTTTATCCGCATTCAATCCTGATCAGAATTTAGGAATTTATAACTTATAAAGGCCAAAATGATCAAACGCCAGTAAGATCGTCGTTTAGAAAACCAAATTCAATTAACGTTTTAAGCATATATAAACTGTGGAAATTTTGAGTTGGACGTAAACAGCATATTCTAATGTAGGATTCCCATATGTATTCCACATTAGCACCTTAAAAGAATAAAATAATTCGAAGTGGTCTATATTCTGTCGAAACTGCCAGACGCGGATCGCGATTTCGATCTTTTTGGATCTCATCAGGGCGTCGCAGGCAGCTCCGACAGACACAGACCAACTTTTACCTGCTGTCTTAACAGCGCGTTTTAGAAAATACCACAAATGGCGCGGTAAATGCCATCTGTAGTACGATGCACCTTAAAATAAATTTGTAAAATTGGACAACCTTGACAGGTCCTCACACTGAGTATATTCGGTCAACCTGCTTCCAATTTCTAGTCAGTTGGCAGCTTGGTATCTGTAGTTTTGTATCTTCTTTATGGAAAGTGTAGTCCTGGGATCGTTTAGCTATTGGTTAGGTACCAATTCGATTTCATACATCAATGAATACGCAATAGAGGACCTTACAGATAGGCCCGGGCAAAAATTCAACGTAGTAAATGATTTGGTTGTGTCAAGTCAAAAAAGACGACAAAAAGATGACAATGAATCTCATTATGGATGAAAGATGCAAGAAACCTATCTCGAATACTTTACGAAATTAACCTATTCGAAAGAGCATAAAACACTAACGAGCTGTATGAAGACATTCACTCTACCACAACTTTTAAATTAACATTTTTGTAGTGAGAGATGATAGGAATTGACGAACAATTACGATGGGTATACATAGATAATTAAAGAAACTTATGGACAGACGTTTCAAATTAGTTGTTTTTTAGTTTTAGTTAGTATCTATCTATTGAATTTTGTAAATATATAAAGATATATAGGTACATACAGAAAGTATTATAAAAAAATTTACCAAAACATCAATATCCCCCTTCGAACTAATTATTATTAGTAATAAAATTACTATAGTATTTATATAAAACGTCTGAAATCACAACAGGAAGTCATTATTTTCAAATTAATATTCGGTTCATAATTTTAAAAAAAATTTTTTTTTCACGTGCATCTGTTATCTATATGACAACACCAATTAACAAATTTTGCAAAGGTCCTTGAAGCTCTAAGCCCTTTCTTAAGGTGCCTTTAACTCTTGAAACTCCAGTTACTTTTTAAAATCCAAGGACATCGATTCATCATCAATTACATCGACAGCAATTAGTATTCAAACTCCTAAGCACTTTGAAAGGGTCTGGGGGGTGCTTTGACTTACAAATTACAAAGCACTTTTATGGAATGCTTCTAAGACCTGAAAGAACTGAAAGAACTTAAGTTATTTAAGTACAAATTACTAAAGTTCTTCTGACATGCACAGAGTTCCTGATCTATTGAATCATA